CCTGTCTAAATTTCCCTGAAAAATGGACCTCCGCTCATCCTCCTGGGTGACTTCAACATCCAGACAGAGAAGTCATCTGACCTCTTACACCTACTTTCTTCCTTCGCTATGTCACTCAGTCCCTCTCCTCCTACTCACAAAGCCGGCAATCACCTTGACTACATCTTCACTAGAAACTGCTCTACCACTAACCTCTCTGTAACGCCACTTCATGTGTCTGATCACTTCTTCATATCTTACTCCCTTCCACTCTCTATAACTAACAAACCTCCCTCATTGACTAACTCCATACCGGCTCGTCGCAACATTCGCTCCCTCTCTCCCTCCTCGCTGGCATCCTCTGTTCTATCAGCCCTCCCTTCAACTGATTCCTTCTCACTCTTGCATCCAAACGCTGCTGCAGAGTCTCTCCTCTCAACTCTTTCCTCCTCTCTAGACTCTCTCTGCCCTCTTACGACACGACGGACTGGCAAATCCCCTCCGGCTCCGTGGCTGTCTCAACCGGTCCGTGCCATGAGAGCCACCATGCGAGCGTCGGAAAGGAAATGGCGTAAATATAAACGACCTGAGGACCTGCTCGAATTTCAATCTCTCCTCTCCTCGTTTTCTGCTTCTATCTCTGCTGCCAAAAGCTCCTTCTACCAATCCAAAATCGAATCCTCATTCTCTAACCCCAAAAAACTCTTCTCGATCTTCTCCAATCTCCTCGAACCCCCTACCCCTCCTCCCCCTCCACCCTTCTTCCGGGAGACTTTGTCAACTACTTCTCCAAGAAAATAGCTGACATACGCTCCTCCTTCTCAAACCCACCTCCTACTTCTCGCGTCCCACCGACCTCACCTCTTTCGCCCTCACTTTCCTCTTTCACCGCCCTCTCTCCAAACCAAATTCTTACCCTAGTAACCTCTGCCCGTCCGACCACCTGCCCTCTTGACCCCATTCCATCACATCTTCTACAATCTATCGCACCTGACCTTCTTCCGTTCCTCACCTGTCTCATCAACAACGCTCTGTCATCTGGCTGTTTTCCAAATTCTCTGAAGGAGGCAAGAGTCAACCCTCTCCTGAAGAAACCCACCCTCAACCCTTCTGAAGAAAACAACTACAGACCGGTCTCTCTTCTTCCCTTTTTGTCCAAAACCCTTGAACGTGCTATCTTTAATCAACTCTCCTCTTATCTCCACTGTAACAACCTCCTTGACCCCCACCAGTCAGGTTTCAAGGCAGGCCACTCCACAGAGACTGCTCTCCTTGCTGTCTCAGAGCAACTCCACACTGCTAGAGCCGCCTCTCTCTCCTCTGTCCTCATCCTTCTGGACCTCTCTGCTGCATTTGACACGGTCAACCACCAGATCCTTATTTCCTCCCTTCAGGAACTTGGTGTCACAGGCTCTGCTCTCTCCCTTCTCTCGTCCTACCTCGACGGCCGCACCTACCGGGTAACCTGGCGAGGATCTGTGTCGGAACCTTGTCCTCTTACTGCTGGAGTTCCTCAGGGTTCCGTGCTGGGTCCCCTCCTGTTTTCGCTTTACACCAACTCTCTTGGCGCTGCCATTCGCTCGCATGGCTTCTCTTACCACAGCTATGCCGATGACACCCAACTAATTCTCTCCTTCCCTCACTCGGACACCCAGGCGTCGGCTCGGATCTCTGCCTGTCTAACTGACATCTCTCAGTGGATGTCCGCCCACCATCTGAAAATCAACCCCGACAAGACATAACTACTTCTCTTTCCCGGAAAAGATTTGCTTACCCAGGACCTGACAGTCAACTTTGGAAACTCCGTACTAACGCCCACTTTGACCGCTAAGAACCTCGGCGTCACACTCGACAGCCAACTCTCCCTGACTCCCAACATCACTGCGACAACGCGATCCTGTAGATACACGCTCTACAACATCAGGAGAATACGTCCCCTTCTCACTCAGAAGGCAGCGCAGGTACTGATTCAGGCTCTTGTTATCTCCCGCCTGGACTACTGCAACTCCCTCCTGGCTGGTCTCCCTGCCACCGCCATTCGACCTCTGCAGCTCATTCAGAATGCAGCAGCTCGACTGGTCTTCAACCTTCCTTCTTCTTCACTGGCTACCGGTGGCCGCCCGCATCCAGTTCAAAACATTGGTGCTCACGTACCATGCTGTGAATGGATCGGGTCCAGCTTACATCCAGGACATGGTCAAACCCTACATCCCAACCCGCACTCTCCCCTCTGCATCCGCAAAACTACTCGTCCCTCCCTCACTGAGAGCAAAACACTCGACTAGATCTCGACTCTTTGCTGTCCTTGCGCCGAAATGGTGGAACGAACTCTCTGAAGACATCAGGACCGCAGAGAGCCTTCACATCTTCCGCCGCAAACTAAAGACACACCTCTTCAGACTCTACCTCGACTAAAGACTAACAAATTGTAGCACTTAAATTGTACTTGTAACGTCACTCATCTATAGCAAATTGTAAATTGGCTTATTTGAGGAAATTGCACTTTCTTGTTTCTTGTTCTCCTGAGTCTGTACCCTATGGTTGAATGCACTGTACGTCGCTTTGGATAAAAGCGTCCGCTAAATGACATGTAATGTAATGTAATGTAATTTTCTGTAAAGCACAAGGTTTTTAGGATTTACCTCCTGATGAGGTAATCACAAGAAACGTTCATTTTGTATATCGGAATCCTTTTGAATTGCATTGAATTTTTATTTAATTTATTTTGAATTTGTGCAAAAGCTGCTCCTCAAGACATAGTGTTTGTAATAGATCTGTTAAAGTTAGGTCATTTGAGTCTTTTTTCGATTTTTTTGTTTGTTCATGAAAGCTGTTGAGTTTGTTTGAAATGGCTGAAGATTCTTAATTGTTATGTATTTTGTAATACCTCGTGTCCTTAAGATACACTTGGGGGTTTTAGCTAATTGACTGTAAACGGGAATAGTTCCCTCTCTAGCATCGCTACCAGCTGGCTGTTTTGTTTTTTCATTAAACTTGTTATTGTGTTGGCATAGTTGAGAATGTTCCTCGATTTGGGTTGTCATTAAGGGGGGATGGTGGGTCCCGGAGCCAGACAACTTGCGAACCACTGCTTTAACGAACTGTCACTTTGGTGTGATTGGGGGAGGGCCGGAAGGCCGAGGTCAGTTACCCCGTTTTCCCGAAACATGACAATCCCACCTTTTACCGGATGAACTTTCTAACAGGCAGATGTTTACTCAACAGAAATGTTGCTGCTCTGTTTGATTTCAAAGTCCAATCTGTCACTGTTAAATGTATCTACAGATATTATATACCCAACTTCAAAAAGGAAACATGTTCTTGAAAGAACTGGGGAACGAGAGTTTCATGAGTCTGGTGGTTCTTCTATCAGCCACAAATCTCATTATCTCCCTGTTTCCTGCTCTGCGCTAAACAATCCAGCTATCAAAATGTATCTGAGGGCGTTGAGATATCGCACCATGCAGTAAACCTAAACCATAAACAGTCAAATCCCACTCAACACCTAATAATAAGAACAATAAACAAGTAATTTAGGTATTATAGCTGTTTTGGAAATTGACGAGTCAAAAAAATGATTTGATAATTATTTCTCCTTTTGGGAGTCAAGCCCAGAAGACTCAACAGAGGTCAAATCAAACACTCACATGTATTGGGATGAAATGAAAACTATTAGTGCTAAACAAGTCAAGTAAATTTTTTGATACATGAGCAAATACAAAACATCCAAACTAATTAAAACTAACTAATTTTCTGGAGATCTTGCCTGAACTGCATGCACTAAAACAATCTCTAAAGATGTGTCCTACACTCTAACGAAAGAGAATGTTAACATGTTGTGCTGTGATCTAGGTTTAGAGTTTAAACAATTCTGAATAAAAAGGGATAAATGTACTCAAAGTGCTTTTTTTCTGTGGCATCTTCATTTCATTTACTCTGCAACATATATACTGATATTTACACATCTTCATCTTCGTCATCTGCTGATTGAGGAATTTTGCATCGAGTTTGGAATTTTTTACCTACTATTATTGGGGTTATGTTCAGGATTTAGAAGTAAACGAGTAAGCATGATGTTTGAAAAGTCTAGAATTTGATGAGTATATTCTTGACTAGCAAGTATTCAACAAGACAAACACTTTAAAAAAACACTTTATCCATTTGGCAAATGGCAAATCAAACATAAAATAAACTCCTGTCAACACTGACTCACCTGCAAACAATAAACAGCTGGACAGATGCAGCTCCAGAGCAAATACCGGTACCGTAACTTTCCTTTTGTGAGCCCGTGCACTTCTGACGACCATAGGCAGTAAGCTAGTTCTTTCTCTCTATAAATATACATATCTATAAAAATGTGTAGAATTATTTGTACATATTTTAACAATTCAAACATTTAGTTATACCCCGTTTCTTCTCATGAAAAAGTCAGCCTCTTGAGAACTCTTAATTTAGTTATTGAAGCTGTTATTCTTGACAAGCCAAGACTTATTAAAGGATCATTTATTTGGAAAAGGGTGGTTTGTACAGCAAATGGGGATTTATTTTGCATTTTGCATTTCGGGACAGAGGATGTCGTATATGTACAGACTGTAAAGCCCTCTGAGGCAAATTTGTAATTTGCGATTTTGGGCTATACAAAATAAAATGAATCGAATTGAATTTAATATATTTGTGAAATGCAAAGTAGAAACATCTTAAATTTCTGTAGAAATGAAACTAAAGGTCATCAGCTCATATTGCATAATCAATTGAACGCGAATCACTTGAGTGTTAGAGTAGAACAGCTACACACAATACTTCATGGACTGATTCTGCAAATTATGTGAGTGGGTAAAATAAAATATTTCCATAAACTAATACTAAGTTAATATGGAGGAAGTAGTCAGATGTTTACCTGAATAGTAGAGCGTTGACTACTTTGTCACAAGTGAGGGGTGGAGTGAGTGACTCTTCTAGGATGAGTGGATGTGAGAGAGGTGGGAGGGACAATGTATGAGTATAAATACAAGCCTTGGATGGACAAAACAAGAGTGTCAAGACGCCTGAAGAAACGTGTGTATTGGAAGAAACCATAGCAAACTTCAGGGGTAAGACATCGTATCTCTTTATCGCTTTATATATACATTTATCTATATCTATATCTCTATACATATATATCCATAATGCATTTGAGTTTTTTGTTTTTTTTGGCTAGAACTCTCGATTCCTCTCTCTCTGCAAACTGTATTAGAAACTGTGTGGGAGATTTATACATGTGTGAAAAATGTGCTGATGCTTGAGTCGACACTCGGGTGTGATATGACCCATCCTAATTCCTGCAGGAAGCAAAAGTCTGGCTAAGACAGTGATCGGACCTATAAAAAAAGAATATAGGTGTTATTTGTTTGCTTTTGGCTTACCATAATGGCACAATACATACATTGAGTTACATTGATCATTCAATCACATTTAGTTCCCCCAGTTTAGGATATTTATTGATTTTACTTTGAACCTTTGTACCTTGTTTTTGACACTTTTACAAAAAATTCAATAAACAGAAAATGCTGGGATGTCCTTCATATTATTTACTGTACAGTGTTGTAATGATCCTCCTATCCAACTCTTGGTAAAAAGTTGAATCAGTGTATTTCCTAAAATGTCTAATTGTTTGTCTCTTTAAAGTGAACAAATGTAAATTGAAAGCAACAACTTACTACTCAAGTTCAACCACAGTGCAACTGAGTAGGTCACAACCGATGTGAAACTCTTCTATCGCCTCCTAAATTTTACTTAGCAAAAAGTCGGCCCACCACAAGCAAACTCCTGTCTCTTTTAGGTTTGATTATGGACGTAAATCTGAGGTGTCGTGAAAACAACTTGGCTCATCGCACCAAGGAGATCGATAGGGAGCGCCTGATTGTCCGCAGGGGTCAACCGTTCTCCATAACTGTGCAGTGCTCTGAGACTCTTCCTCCTGACCACCACCTGGAACTGGTTCTGCACATTGGTAAGTACAGCCTCACTGAAGAGACAGTGGGGGGGATGATTGATGGGTTTCGGATGCTAGTTCCAAGAAAACTATTCAACAACTGTAGATATACAGTACTTATTCAGAAAGATTTTATTAATTTTGACACATATGATCTTAATGCTGAAGTCCAATAAATCCATCTAACTGCAGTTTGGCCTCTGGACGAGAGTGTATGACTTCATTCCAAGTGATTTCCACCATGCCATATGTACAGCAGAAAAATGAGGCTGATGATGATTAAAACACGTTTAACACTTACCGCTATCACCGACACTTCCAAGGTGAAAGGAAATGGCCAATACCTTCTGTAATGCAATTAAATTATGTGTATTAAAAATACATTACAATAGCAGCTGTCCCTGTTCTGTGCTACATTTAACCTGGTTCATACCGTATGAAGCCTTACTTGTGCCTGTCAAAGATAATGTGTAGTCCAGAGAATGCATTTTTACTATTTCTTTGAGGTGCAGTGAAGCTACAGAGGAACTAGCTACACAGGTTCAGGCTACACAAGCTTGTTGTCATCATTTCATATTGTCTTGAATCCTGCATTTAATCTGTGACAGGGTAGATTTCCCTACCTTGTCCGACGCAGACCACTAATCCTAAACATTACAACGCCGAATTAAAGGTATAACAACGTTTCTCATGTCTCTCCAGGTCAGAATGATGAGGTGGAGATCAAGGTTCAGAAGGAGCGTGAAGTCGGAGCCGAGTGGTGGTTCAGCCAGCAGGGAGCGCAGGATGAAATGCTGCTGACGCTGCACAGTCCACCGGACGCAATCATTGGCCAGTACCGTCTGACTATGTTGATGATGTCACCGGACGGACGCACTATTGACAAGACCGATAACACAAGGTTTCACCTTCTTTTCAACCCTTGGTGCAAAGGTAAAATAAAAAAAACATTGTCACACTTCAGCTTTTGAACATCACCATGCTGCTCTTCATGTTTTTTGTTTGTCCTTAGGGTATCTATAAATGTGCCTTGAGTCAGTTAATATAACTAAAAACATAATTGACATTCAGCAAGGGTTTTCATTTTCATATCCTAACATGGCGCACCCATGACAAAGACATGATCCGCATGACAGGTCGTCACCTTTCAACCCATTTGAGCATTCATCTTCACCGGCATTATTAAATCCCAAAATTATGGAGATTCTCACGCAGCGTTGTGTCAGTGTCATACTTTTCTGATTCAGCCACTCAAATGTTCAAAATGTTGAAATAATTCATTTTGCAAATGAACGTCCTTTGAACGTGTTGCAAAAATGATTTTCGGTGTTTGTATATAACTGTGTGTTTGTGCACCAGATGACGCGGTCTACCTCCCTGATGAGAAACTGCTCCAGGAGTACGTTACAACTTGGCTCATCGCACCAAGGAGATCGATAGGGAGCGCCTGATTGTCCGCAGGGGTCAACCGTTCTCCATAACTGTGCAGTGCTCTGAGACTCTTCCTCCTAACCACCACCTGGATCTGGTTCTGCACATTGGTAAGTACAGCCTCACTGAAGAGACAGTGGGGGGGATGCTTGATGGGTTTCTGATGCTAGTGCCAAGAAAACTATTCAACAACTGCAGATATACAGTACTTATTCAGTAAGATTTTATTAATTTTGACACATCTGATCTTAACGCTGAATTCAATTAAATCCATCTAATTGCAGTTTGGCCTCTGGACCAGAGTGTATGACTCCATTCCAAGTAATTTCCACCATGCCATATGTACAGCAGAAAAATGAGGCTGATACAGGAATCCTGCTAAACATTAAAACACGTTTAACACATACCGCCTGTAGTGGCTATTTGTCCATAAACTTAAACAAAAACAAATAATAACAAACTTCTCAAATGGCCACTCGAGGCTACGTCATGGTTAGGCTTTACGCAGGTTCAGAGGTACCAAAGCAAAGTAATGTCCATAACAAGATTGAGTTTGAGGCGGTTTATTCACACACATAAGCAAGCTCACAGACATTTCTGCTGCCTCTCTCACGCTGGCTGCCTCTCTCACGCTGGCTGCCTCTCTCACGCTGGCTGCCTCTCTCACGCTGGCTGCCTCTCTCACGCTGGTAAAAAACCATATGCCCTCGTGCCTGAAGTACCTCCCACCTTGACCTACTTATGCAAATGAACATAACACCATGTGACCAATAAACGACAATACGAGTAAAGCATAAATACAAAATACACCAAATTAACTTTAACAGGAAAAGAAAAAGAAATAAGTAAGGCTATAAATTAACTTAAACCCAAAATAAACAAAAATAAAAATATAGCTCCAACAACCCAGCCCCTAATTGTAACGGTACTTTACCCACAATTAACCTTAGCTTTAACACAAAGGAGCTATTTTCTAATTGTAGCTTAAGCATTAAACTGGAATCTTCACATCTTCGGATTCTCCATATCTGAAAGAAACAAACAGATGGAAGACAGAGATAGGAGAAAGAATGAGTTGTATAGTCAATTATTAGCCTCCAAGAGAAGACAGAGCTTGGTTATTGGTCTGTCCAGGACGCTGATCTTCGTTTGGACCTTCACAGAGCGAACCAGTCCTCGGGAGTCAGCTATGGCGCTTAGCACTCTGCCCATCATCCATGAGCCTCTTGGAGCTGTGGCATCAGCGATTACGACAATATCTCCTGGAATAAAGTTTCTCTTTTGCTTCGTCCATTTTTGCCTTTCTTGCATTACAAGCAAATACTCCGCTGTCCATCTTTTCCAGAAAAGCTCCGCAACGTACTGCACTTGCCTCCATCTCCTCTTAATGTACAGATCAGATTTCTCAAACAGACCTAATGGCAGAATGGGCTTGCCTTTTAACAGGAGAATGTGATTTGGAGTAAGCGCTTCTAAATCATTGGGATCTTCTGAAGCCTTAGTTATTGGCCAGTCATTGAGTATC